TGTTTGTTTCTAGTTGAGTTTGTTTGTTTACAGTTTGTTTGTTTCTATTTTAGTTTATTTGTTTACAGTTTAGTTTATTTGTTTACAGTTTATTTGTTTACAGTTTAGTTTATTTGTTTACAGTTTGTTTGTTTCTAGTTTAGTTTATTTGTTTACAGTTTGTTTGTTTACAGTTTATTATATTTTTTACAGTTTGTTTGTTTGTTTGCAGTTTGTTTGTTGGTTTGTTTACATGTTATTTGTTGTTTGTTTACATTTATTTGTTTACAGTTTATTTTGTTTGTTTACAGTTTATTTATTTGTTTACATGTTGTTTGTTTGCTGTTGATGTTATTTGTTTACACTTAGTTTGTTTACAGTTTATTTGTTTGTTTACTTATATGTTATTTGTGTTTTTTTTTCTTCATTTTATTTGTTTACTGTTTTTGATTACAGTTTATTTACCGTTTATTTAATTTGTTTACATTTTGTTTAGCTACATTTTATTTATTTGTTTACAGTTTGTTTGTTTGTTTACAGGTTATTTCATGCTTATTTACAGTTTGTTTACATTTGTTTTGCAGTTTATTTAATTTGGTTACAGTTTGTTTACAGTTGATATTGTTGACAGTCTTTTCTTATTTGTTTACATTTCATTTGTTTGTTTACATTTCATTTGTTTGTTGACTGTTTATTTGTTTGTTTCTGCGTGTGGCTCTGTCAACAGATCCCGGTCTTGTTTAGCAGAAGGAAACTGGATTTAGAGTTTTTTGTTCCTCGGGGTGTCAGGAAGTGAAGATCTGATCCCTGAAGGAGGACTTGTGGATCAGGTTTATGGAATCGGACCGGTTCTGTCACCCATCCTGGGTCAGAACTTTGTTAGACTCCCCACCCGTCCTGACCGCGGTGCCACCGCTGCTTTTCTGCAGAACCTGAAGGGACAGAACCGAGGAGTCCAGCTAACAGGACGTGAGGCGTTCAAAGACCCGCTGGAAACAACAGAACCGACACAGTGTCCTTCACAGAGACGTGTCTCGTCCTGTGGGACGTCTCTGAGGGAGTTGAACCTCGGGTCAGGTCTCCGTCGTGTCTCTGGGCTGACGTCTTCCTGCAGTCAGAACCTCTGTCTGGAGTTCTGGTCTCTGTGGGAACCGTCATGAGAACTGGACTCCCTTTGGGCCCATGAGCCTCCGGCCCGAGCTGATGTTCCTGGAACCCAGAAAGTCAGACTCGATCCGGGTTCTCAAGAACAGAACCCGGCACAAACAAGAATCATGACCCACCGGGTCACTATTTACAGAACCAAAAGTGGTTCCAGCTCAGGGACACTGCAGGTTCTGGAGTTCTGGGTTCTGACCCTGTTTCCATCATGGATGAAGAACATTATCGTGTTACCCTTCATGATGTTAACGACCCTGATCCGGTTTGGACCCTGGTCCTGTTGGTTGTAGGCAGTACTTTGGGCCCGGTTGCTGCTTGGGTTCTGTTGGGCGGAGAACTTGTTGAATCTAGTTTTCAGGACAAACGAGTGAAACGTTCAGCTCTGACTCTTTGTTCTGGTTCTGTGGAAGTGGACCCATTCAGCCCGACCCAGTCTTCAGTACTCTGCAGGATCTGATGGTCGGGTCGAGGAGGTTCTGAACTTCTGATGGTTTCTTTGGGTCGTCGTTTGTCTGGTCTGCTCAACAGGTTGGTCTTCTGCAGCTGGGCTGGTGTCCGGCACCGGTTCTGGTCAGTACTGGTCCAATAAACAGGCTCAAAGTTTCTTAAAGGTTCTGATGTGAAAAATGTAGAAGAACTTGTTGGATCATAAAGAGGAACCTTTACACAGCAGGAAGTGATGTCATAGTGACGTCATGAATAGAGGAAATGAAACGCACCGTGGCTCCTCCCATTTCCACTGTGACCTTTGACCTTCTGATCCATGAGTGAGCTGCTGGTGACCAGAGGAACAGAACCAACAGCTGAGTCATGTTTGGTTCAGCTGTTGGTTCTGTGACCTGTCAGGAGAAGTTCTGAAGGTTCTGTAGCTTAAAAAATATTGTGAAGGAGAACCGGGTCAGACCCGGCGGGTCAGACTTGATGGGTCAGACTTGATGGGTCAGACCCGTGGACCCGGCGTCGTTCTGACGCAGAAACATGGAGGCTGCTTTTAGACTCAGGAATGGGTTTCCTCGGCCATTCCCTCAGGCGTGGTGTGAGTGTGTGTGTGTGTGTGTGTGAGTGTGTGTGTGTGTGTGTGTGAGTGTGTGTGTGTGTGTGTGTGAGTGTGTGTGAGTGTGTGTGTGTGTGTGTGAGTGTGTGTGTGTGTGTGTGTGTGTGTGTGTGTGTGTGAGTGTGTGTGGAGGTGTGGCGGGTAATGCGAGCCTGTTTTTGGGTCAACCAGAGTTCCTGTCTGAGCAGCTCCTCAGCAGAAACATGCCACAGATTCCTGACGGTCTGACCCAGATCCAGCATGCCCCGCTCAGCACAGGGGCACAGAACACGCGTGTGCGTTCACACATGTTAACCTCTTCATGAAATGAGGCGCAGCTTCCTGTGATCCGTTAAAGCGGTTCTGATCAGATTTCTGTTCTGCAGCTCAGATTCTGATCACCTGATCCGTTTTTAACGGATCGGAGCCGGAGCCTGTTGTCGACCCGACCCGCTCGGCAGCGGACAGAACCTTTTATGGCCCAGGTTCTGCTCACAGCTAAGAATAGCTCGGGGCCGAGGGAGGAGGACGAGCTGAACTTGTGTTCCTGATGAACTTGTTGACCGGATGTGGGTTCTGCTGCGGGCTCGACCCACTTCTGTTCTGGGTCCAAAGAAACCAGAACCAGCCTGTGGACGAACCAGTAAGATGAAGAGACCCATTTCAGATCCTTTGGGCTCAGGCTGCAGCCGACCCACAGGAACCTCCTCCTGGTCCTGCTTGAGGCTCTGGTTAAGGTTCTGGTTCTGGTTCTGGTTGAGGTAAAGACAGTGGTCCGTCATGGCTGCTCTTTGAGGTTTCAGACACTGTTGGGTCAGTTCTGCAGGACCATGACCCGACCCGTTTGGTTTGGGTTTGTTCCTCCAGGTTAAAGTTCTGTTCTGATCCAGTTTCCAACATCCTGGTGCTGGACCTCCTGCTGGATCAGCTGTCTGTCCTCCTCTGAAGGTCTGGAGATGTTCAGGAGGTTCCCTGAGCATTTGGACGGGCCTGAGGAGAACCTCCTGCTCCATCAGCTGGACCAGGAGAACCATCACCTCTTCATCCGGCTCCTCCTTCTCTCCTCCTCTTCCTCCTTCTCCTGACCTCACAGCATCCGTCTCCATCTGCCCTGAGATTCAGTTTATGATCCCAGAACTAGAACCAGAACCAGAACCAGAACCTGGTGGTCCACGTCATTCAAACAATGAACCCTTAGCTAAAAGCTAACACGAGGAAAAGCTGAACGCAGCTCAAACTTAAAATCATCTCATATAAATTAAAACAAAAAAGTAAAAAATGTTGAAAAGTATCAAAGTTACAAAAGTCAAAGTCACCTGGAGAAGCCGAACGTTTTGATTTATGAACAGCTAAAGCAGCTGAATGAATGCTGAGGACTCGGGTGTTCCTGTGTGGGACTTTGTGGTTCTGGAGATGATGGAGGACAGTAAATGTCTCACCTGCTGCAGGTGGACTTCACAAGTCCAGATCAGCTGAGACACGACAAGATGAAACCAGTCATGGTCCTGAAGACCGAGAACAGCCGAAGTCCAAAGTAACGCTCTGGGAGACCTTCAGGAGGTCTGGAGAAGTTCTGCTCCAGAACCCTGGATGGTCTGGACCTGGATCAGGTCAGGCGTAAACTCTGATTTCTGTGTTTTCTGTTGCAGCTCTTCCCCTGCAGCTGGACTCTCGGTCCATCCAGAACCAGGACCAGGTTCCAGGGAAAGACCTTCTGAGTCCAGATGACTCGGCCGTCTCAGACCTGTCTCCTAAAACAGAGACCCCCTCAAAGACAGAAGTCTCCTCGAGGACCGACGGCCGACCCTCCACCCCCGGCTCCAGCAGCAGCCCCCAGCCCAAGAAAGGTACTGTATTATGAAATTCTTTATCAAAAGGGCTCGTGAACGGTCGGCACAGATATTCAGACCAGATGGAAAAAATAAAAACACCAGAGGCTGTTACTGCTAGGAGTAATAAGTGTCCTTTATTAACCTGCCACAGAAAACAGCCAAGCAAAAAGCATGTACACTCGTACACTCTTAACACACAAAATGATATGAAATAACTTCTCACCGTGACACTGGCCGGGAAGTCGTTTTCGACCCAGGTAAAGAAGAATCACATCAAAATGGCGTGTGGCACCAGCGCGCGGCTGATCCACACCAGGACTTCCTCAACACATTTCTCTTTCTTTCTCTCAAATTTTCCTCGCAACCGGGACACCTGCTCCACCGCCCCGTCAGCTACACTGCTCATTCTCACAAACTGAGCACCGAGCCGTCCATTCAACAAGCAGGCGGTCCTCACATTCTTGTTTACTCCATTGAGCCTGTAATTGCATTTTCTGATTTTATGCTGAAGTCCTGTCACTGGTGCCATCTTTTCTGACCTCTATTGCCTGCAAAAGTGGTCAAAACATCACTCGGACTATCTGCTTGCAGAAAAATTGTTCTAATAACTAAGATGGGCTTCTTCACACCTCTTCAAAAACAACAAAAACAACTGGGATGGGACTTCTTCCCATCCTGGTACAACTTTTTCTCCGTTCAGCTCACGCCTCCTCAGGCGTCTGAATCAACTTTTTTCTCTGTTTTAAAACTCTCACACAAAGGCTCGGGCGTCCCCTCCACCTCTTAAACACAAAGCTAGGGTTGGATGACTCTTCCAACCCGGCACAACTATGCAACTCGCATCAACATTTCTCTCAACACTTTTTTTTTTTCCCTCGTTTGAATATGGTGCAGCCGTTCAGAATTATTTATTTAAATTCTTAACATCCCATCCTCGTCGCCAAAAATGTATTATGAAATTCTATATCAAAAGGGCTCGTGAACGGTCGGCACAGATATTCAGACCAGAGGGAAAAAATAAAACACAGAGGCTGTTACTGCTAGGATAAATAAGTGTCATTTATTAACCTGCCACAGAAAACAGCCAAGCAGAAAACATGTACACTCGTACACTCTTAACACACAAATTGATATGAAATAACTTCTCACCGTGACACTGGCCGGGAAGTCGTTTTCGACCCAGGTAAAGAAGAATCACATCAAAATGGCGTATGGCACCAGCGCGCGGCTGATCCACACCAGGACTTCCGAAGATTAAGTTGCCTGTCACACTTCCTCTTATACCTTCTTCCCTGACCGGATCGCGTGAGAGCAGTGATGGTTGTCAGGAGGGCAGATTTAATTAAATCTGTTTTCCCATCTTCAAAGCAGTCTGTGCAACAGAGCGATGGCTTCATCCTTCAAAACCTGGGTCACTGTAACCTTAAGATTGGGCCCAATCTTCTGGTTAGAGCATCCCCCAGATTACTCCAAAACACATCTGCAGCACAGGAATGACTGAATAAGCAGATAAGCTGCATCAAAAGTGAGTATAAGTGTGTTTAAATAAGTGTAATATAGGTATAGATTGACATAAAAGCATTAAAATAATCATTTCTATATCAGGTACTGTGGGCAGAACCGGGTCGGTTTGGGTCGTGGTCTTCACGTTTGAAGCTGCTTTTAAAGTTCTGACTGTAAAATGTTTCTAAACCAGATGAACTGCTGGTTCTGGAAGAACCTGTGTAAACCTGATTGAATCTGATGAGGAGGTGTGGAACCAGAACCTGGATCCGTCTAAAGGAACATTTGAGCTGTTTGTTACAGAACCTTCCTCAGCTTCAGTGAAACAGGCGGCGGGATGTGGGCGGCGTTACCATGGGTACCCTGGTTACCGTAGTTACCGTGAGCTCACGCCGTGATGCTGATTTTTGTTTTTTTTATTTTCCGACGTTGTGGGCTCCACGCTGCCGTGGAACAGTCCTGGTCTGACGTTTACAGAGATCCTGAACGCACCTCGAGGTAGAGCTGGCGTGATGCCTTCGGGCGTCACAGATTCTGTCAGAAATCCCAGCTTTAATGTTGCGATTGGACACCAAACATAGGTCTGAAGCAGCTGAAGTTCAGCTGCAGCTTTTATTGTTGCAGACAACATCTGATGTCAGAACCTCCTGGTGCTGGCTCTTCTGATCCTGGATCAGGCAGTGGGCTCCCCAGTTGGACCTTCAGACCTGCTGCAGTGTAGTTTTGGAGCCAGAGTCTGTGCACTGGGATGTGGGGCTGTACCTTCCATGTGAAAGTCCCGCCTACAGCCCCTCCCACCTGACTAACAGGCTGTCAATCACAGACCAACATGAACGTGAACGAGCAGCAGCAAAGGAACAAAAATCAGCACCTGAATGTTTTTTACCTGAAGTGTGTTTCTATATTTTGGTTGGTAAGACAACCCGTTTGTTCAGCTCACCTTATTTCTTCAGCTCCAAGTCACAACAGAATCGTCTCAGGGTCTGAACAGAAACATTCATGTATAAAATAATAATTTAACTTTATTTATCTGAGGAGCAGCTTTGAGTTTAACTGCATCGCTGAACTCATCTTGAGCAAGCATGAAGGCGACAGTGGAAAGAAAAACTCCCTCATGAGGAAGTTTACATGAAGGGGCGAGGCTTAAAAAAATCACTGTAACGCTACTTTAATTGGTGATACATGACTTATCTGCGCTGCTGATTATCTCATGCTGCTGTTCATTTCTATCATCTGCTCACCACAGACTCATGTTCGGCTGCTGTTGTTACGCCGTATTGTTTGACATTATTAGTGTTTAGCATATATCTTAGATCTTTTAGCGTGCTGTTTGGCGTTCATTAGTTTATATCTTAGATCGTTATTTACAGTTTCTTTTTACACTTTACATGTTTTGCTATTTTTGTGTGTAACTGGGACCTTGTGTACATAATTTTGTTCCACCTCATGTACCACATGGCAGGATGGTCGACACAATCAGGTGCCTTCTGACTTGGTGTGAGAAACACTTTGTTTCTAAAAAAGAATCCCAATTTAAGTTTTAGTTTAGAACCCAGTTTGTCAATGCGAGATTCATTCATTCCACCTTTATTTAGACAGATGAATCACACTGGGCCTCGGAGACTCCTTCACAAGTGAGACCTGTTTGGACAGAACAACAAGCAGTGAAACTGGACACATGATTGATTGATTGATTACTTTATTCATCAGACTTGTAGTCCACAAAAGCATGACACACAACACACAAAAAAGAAAAGAAAAAAGAAAGATTTAAAAAAATAAAATCTTATAAAAGACTTGCATACCAATGTTTCCACAGAGCTGACTGATATCTTAGCGCACTAACAGAGGGATGTGAAAACATTACAATAAGACTGTTCATGGAGCTGCACAAACGACACATAAACTTGTATATCAAATTTCTCATGAGTGCCTGAAACGATCTGACATGCGCATTACAAAACATTTCACTTGCACTGCTGGACCTTGGTTTCTTAAGCAAAATTCTCAGGGAGTCATTATAAGCAACCTTAAGCTTCTGCATGCTAGCTTTTTTGAATTTACACCACAAAGGAGCCGCATACAAGGATGTACAATAAGCTTTAAACAGACTTATTTTTACGTCATCAGTACACATGTGAAACTTCCTCCCCAGAATGTTTGCCTGGGCGTACAACATTCGACACTGCCGATAAATGTCATCATCGTCACAGAGCTGGTCTGTGATGTAGTGACCCAGATATTTTGTTTTAAAACAAACATTTAACTTTTGGCTTGACAAAAAAAAATCTGGGAAACAGAGTTGTTTGTCTGCTTTAGTCCTACATATTAGCACAACAGTTTTCTTAGCATTATACTGCACATCATATCTCAACCCATAATCAGAGCAGATATTCAGTAGCTGCTGAAAACCAACACTGCTGGGTGAGAGGACAGCCAGGTCATCAGCATACATAAAGTGATTAACCAGGGTATCACCGATCATACATCCAGTTTTACAGAGGTTCATTTCTTTTGACAGGTCGTCCATGTACAAGTTAAACAGGGCAGGCGAAAGAAGCCCACCCTGACGCACACCATTACTCACTCCAAAGCAGGCAGAGATGTTATTGCCCCATTTTACATGCATTTTCTGGTTAGAATACCAGTAAACTAAAATTCGTATAATAATATCTGGAGCACCTCTCTGTTTTAATTTATCAAATAACTTGTAATGATTGACACGATCAAAAGCCTTAGAGGCATCAATAAACCCAATTAACACAGATGAATTTTTTCTTAGATATGCTCTTGCTGCCTCTTTCAGGCCATAAATACAGAAATCAGTTCCCAACTTGGCTTTAAAACCAAATTGATTATCTGTTGTACTAATAAACTTACTGAGACGATCAAGTAAGATTTTTTCAAACACTTTAGATATCACACTCGCTAAAGCTATAGGTCTGTAGTTATTAAGGCTACCAACCTTGCTAGTTTTGTCCTTAATTACCGGCACAAGGGTGATAGATAATAAGGAATCAGGCAACTGTCCATGGATCATAAACCCAGAGAAACACATTGCAAGCAGCACAGCCACTTTTTGGCTGGCATATTTCAGATGTTCTGCTGAAATGCTATCAGAACCTGTTGCCTTATTCTCACACAAGTACGCAATAGCCTGCTGGACTTCACTAGGGGTTATTAGAACCACATCACTCTTGGCAATATTTCCCAGTCCATATGGTTCACTTTTTACACAGTTAAATAAAGTAGAATAATGCTGTCTCCATAGTTCTGCTATGTTATCAGCCCCAGATACGCCTTCAATGGTACTGGGGAGCAATGCAGTAGACCTGTTTAAAGCTCGGACATCATTCCAAAAGCCAATGGTATTATTACAAAGCAGTTTTTCAGCCATGGAATCTGCTCTCATGTTCTGCTCACGTTTGGAAATGTATCGAATGGCATATTTAAAGTTGGCACTTGTTAATTTTTTATAATCTAGGAGAGTCCCATCTCTTGGTCTACCTGCT